CGATGAACGAGCTTCACTGATGCAGCATTCTTTGTATCGTATAACACTAAACGACGAGAATAGATAGCTTCTTCTTTTTAATAAATAATCTATAGTAATGTGATATGTTTCGGTATCTTTAAATCGTTTCTCGAGTGCTTATTCTTGCACATTGTAAGTAATTCACGTCCCCTTAGTTCATTTCAGAGCCCACTCGATTTCTTGCTTATATCAAATCAATTAAATTTTTAATCATTGCAAGATTATTTTGAGATAGCGTATTACATATCGCATCAGCGATATTTCGGATTCATCCTGCGGTTGCATTTATTACGCTAATGACTCGAGTTAATTCCAGGAACCGGTAAATATCAATAAGGAATGTCTTAATCTGATCCGCACACCACGGATCAGACCCTGCGCGAGCAAGCGTGGCTCGCACGTTTCACAATTAAAGAAGCCGGCGTAACAGGTAATTACTCATTTACGTAATCCGTTAGAAAACCACAGCGATCTCCGTCTCCTTTAAAGTTCCCCTCTCTCTTCCCCGTTCGTCGCCAATTTTCATCAAATTTCCATTCCGCCGGCGAACGTTTCCCTTTTCTTCTTTCCCCTCTATTGTTCGTTCATGCCGCAGCCTGTCCCAGCGGGGACCCAGAAAAACTTCCAATTCCGCGGCTTCTCGAAGTTTACGTCGCCTCCATTTTCACGAAATTCTTGATTCTCGCGCCGCGAGCGGAAAGCGGTTGTATCCTCTTCCCAGACGGCGCGAGCCGAGGATATTCGCGCGCGGTCGCGTCTTTCCGTCACGAAATTTCACCGAAAGCTCTTTTACGACGACACGAGAATTCTGTCACGAACAATCGGAAGTGTAATTAGTTTCCGACTGTCGGCGAGCGTGATTGCGTGTTGATCATCCAATAGTTGGGAAGAATCAGCGGCATGGATTTCAATGTATTCCTTGACGACGCCAGTTGCACTACACGCGTAAAATTGAACAGGCAAGAGTGTGGCTGCGACAAATGTACTGCCGATTCTATGTTTTGCGAAACTGTGATCGAGTTCAACGAACACTTTAGATCCATTTTCATTTGATGTTCGTTTTACTTCGGAGTTTAAACGTACCCAATACGTATATATGTATGATTCATGTGGCTATTTGATAATCTTTTAATTGGTAATCAGTTGCTCATTAATCTTCACGTGTCTAACCACACAATGGTTACAGAAAAATGAAATAAACGTAATCTCCCAAAGTACGATAGCATAATAACAAAGAAACGGGACGTTTAGTCAGTAAGTTCCTCTACAACGCGAGGACACAAAATTGCAGGCACCCCTAGAAAGTAAGAAGCTGGAAACACGTGTTTTGGGAGTGATTTTCGTCAACGACCGCGAAAACGATGATCCAAGATTTGCAACGGCAAGCGCCGTGGGACAGCGGAATGATCGTGTTACCCGGAAGCTACCAGTAATTCCGCTCGGAGATGAAGCACTGAGAGAGACGCGGGTGCAGCAACCCCATGGAGACGGAGACCATGGAAACTAGGGAGCCTAACGATCGATATAGGCTCACCGTAGCCTACTGTCCTGGACCTGCTCAACATTCCGTAACGTGAGTTCCGCGTCCTCCAGCCCCAGGATTATAAATTTCGATCGTCGTGTCACGAGATCCGGCCGCGAGCTCGTAACCTGTTATCGCTGGACCCGAATATGGACTGCGTGGCGAAACCGTCGGGACAATGGGACACGTTGTCAAACAGTCCCGTTGGATTGCAGTTTTTTTGATCCGAGCGACGGAAACCGTATTCAATCGGGGATTGATGAAACGAGCAGCGCGCAGCTGTTTGGTTACAATCGCTTCTCGAAAAATTTCATTGCGATAACTGAATTTTTTAGGATCGACTACCGTTCGCCGAATACCGTCTAGCCGCTGTTTCGCGTATAAATAGGTCCATTGTTCGTAAAACGTTGTCCTGACGCACAGTAATCGTTCCGTCATCAATAGACCGCGGATCTTAATGCGCGCCCGCGTCTTCTACGAATTTACTTCGCGCAAAAAGCGACGCAAAAATAATCTCCATTCGTTTAAAACGTTTAACAACGAATCTCTTGAGAACGAAGTAAAATCCTAAGCTTGATCAGGTTCCATCAAACCTCAAACACCACGAATTCCAACGTACATCGTTCCTCAAAGACCAAGTAAGACTTCGCAGAACCACAACTTCCGCTATAACCACTTCATCGGAAGCTCCCCAGCAATTCAGCTTTTATAGCTGTTCAACCGTAACGCCCGGGTCTGGTTCCGAACACCTTCCCCCTTTATTTCTGCAGAACTATTTTCTCTAATAACCCTCGTATCGCTAACAATGATCTTCCATTTCCCCGCTCTCCCGTTTCCGAAACAAACGATTCGCCGGTGGCGCCGTTATTCATCCAGATGGAAACCGTGTCTTCTCGGTGTACTGTAAATAAATATCTCTTTAATCATTTTTACTCCGATTCCTAGCACAGAGGGAACAGAACCGATGACTCCGCGAAGGGTTGCATCCGGCGTTCACAAGCGCGCGCGCATCGGGCCAATATGCAGACGAAGCACTCACGCATCGCGCATCACCTCGCAAACGCGTGTGCATGCACGTGTTAACGCGGCCGAGCGTTTCTCTCTTTGTTTCCCTTTCGTTGCCGCGAC